CATCAGATAACTTCCTCGTGATCCTGTGTGCATTTTATTATGTATTTTGACCAGTGGTTATTTAACTTGTTCATTACTGCGATTGATAGGCTTGGAATCCTGCTGCAGAAGACCAATGTTTTGACAGATGTCACAGGCTGGGTCAGAAGCATAATGTTGTTATAACTAAGGTGAGTTGAGAGATGATCTGTTGGACCAGTGTTCTGATTATGAATAAATAAATAATTTTCCAGAAAGCTTTGTTGTGTTTTTAGAAGAATTGTGACATCATAATCTCACCAGTAAACTCAAAAGTTGTGATTTTTGAAGTGTGGGCTTTGGATTGTAAGATTATATTAAATGTAAGCTACTTCCTGTGAAATAATAACTTTAGAAATCAGATGTCCCTGTTGTGAGCTATTTGGAGTGATATATATGGGGTAGTATTGCTGCTGCCTGGCCTGGCTGTTAGCTTATTGTCTTGAAAGTATGTAGAATGCTTTTGCTTTTGTCATAGCAGCTCGTTCGGCTGCAAAAGAGCAGCTGGTATGTCTCATTAATACCTGGTCACAAAAAACATTACTTGGGAAATTGAAGACTGGTTCTCTTCTCATATAAGTAGCAAATAAGAGATAAATATTCTTCCGATTAAGTATTAAAAAAAAGGTGTGTGGGTGTGTGTTTAAAATGCAAAACATTCTCTGTCTACACTATAACTCTTCCCTTTTGTGTTTGCTTCACAAAGTAGTAACAAAATATAAGTGTGCTTTAGGCTCACTCGGCTATTTTTTCCCCTGAAGTACCTAAATGTCCCATCCTAAACATTTAATTAAACACCCCCCCCCCCAAAAAAAAACAAACAACAAAAAACCAAACAACAAAACCCAACATTTCAGTGGGGCCTTTTTTTGTATTTCAGTTCATTGTGAAGGATTCAGTGGAAGAAAATATGCTGAAAATTCAGAACAAGAAGAGGGAACTTGCAGCAGGAGCCTTTGCTACCAAAAAGCCTTCAGCAAGTGAAATAAAACAAACCAAAATTAAGGAAATTAAGGCTCTAATCGATTTATAGCTTGAAAATGTGGTAAAATAATATATTTAATATTGCTCTTCAAGTTGCTCTCTTGTTAACTTCTAATTTTGCTGTCTTTGTTGTCAAAACATAAATGCTTCACATAAACTACAAAATCTAATTTTCTCCTAAATGTTAAGTTTAGAAATGTACAAACTTGTTTTGTATTCCTGAAATCTTTCCAGTGTTCACTCCTTTGAAATGTTGACTATTATGTACAGCACTTAAGAACACATAAAAATCCATGAAACAGAAATGTGTATTCATGCATTCTAATTTGCAAGAATTTCATATCTTTTTAGAGGTAACTAAAGGGTTTGTCCTTCAGATAAAACCCTTAAGAAATGAATTAACTTCATGTTTCAATCTTGGTGTGTTCCTGATACCCAAACAGATCATCTGGATTGTTTGTTTCAGAATAGGTGGTCACTGACCACTTCAGAAGGAATTCTTTTGTTCAAAGATGGTAGTTAATTCAAAATTCTAAAATATTCTAAATGATACAAAGGTGCAGCAGGGGGTTCCTCTGTTGATTACTTTTCAGGGGATAGTGAAAATGAAATACTTAAAATTTGTAAAACTTTCATATTTTACTTCCCTTAAGCAGAACTCCACTTATTTTTGTAAAAATAAAGGTTTTATGATTGAATGAAATGCTAGAATCATAGGCTTGTATTGATAACGTGATTTCTTTTAGTTTCTGTAGACACTTTGAACAGTAAAACTGTGCTATATGCAAAGTAGAATACAACCCACTGACTTGCCAATGAATCAGTTAGTCCTTGCAGAATAAATTAATAACTGCCAGCTTTCTAACAGTTTTCTTGCACTGTTAAGTGTTTTTTCAGTCCCATATATATGTCTTAATGGAATGCTAATCTGCATGCATCTTGATTTATATAGGAAGCTACTCATATTCATGTACTGCAAAGTATTAAGTAGCACTGGAAAATCTCAGTTGAATGTTCTTGTCTGCTCCTAATACTGTACTGCCTTCCCTGTAATGCTTAGACTTCAAATTGGAAGCAGATACTGCTATATTAAGGTCCTGTTTAGATTCTATGTTTAGATTCAGGAAGTGTGTTTGGCAGCAGAGAAGTGGAATATGACTTGTTTCTAATGCCTTTCACCTTTTCTTATGTCTTAGAATACAGTCACCTGATCATAAGATGAATTGCAAACATAGAAAATGGAAAGGGACTGAGAAATAAAGGGAAGATGTCTGATATTTGGAGGATGGTGAGCCAATGGAAGGAGTGAGAAAGGAATTCAGAATATGTAGCCTGATGCAGTTTTCTGGGGAGCCAGCATCTTAGCTATGGAGAAAGGTGTAGTTTTAATTTTCTCTGATAGACTTAAAAGATGTGATTAATGGAAAACATGAACCCCAGTAACTGGTTGCTACTGGAAAGTTGACAAAAGAACAAGCAAACAGTTATACATGATTTTTGGTTTGTTCATTTGTTTGGTGTTTTGTTTTTTTTTTTTAAATTGAGTTTATATAATTTCGGGGTTTTGTGGTTCAGATTTTGCCATTCAGAGAGAAGTTGGAGAAATAATTCTGATTATGAATGAAAGACTTGGCTTTGTGTCATTCTTTCAAAGTTAAAATTCCATGAGGAAGAGATACATTTCAATGGCTAGTTAAGCTACATCATTACTTGCATTAAAATCTGCTGATGTTTTGCAGAGTGGCTAAGTTATGATTATAAAAAAAAACAACTTACTGGAGTTATTACTAAGCTGTATGGCTAATTAAAGTATGTCTCAAAAAAGCCATTAATGTATATGAGATAACAGTTAAAGGGCAAAGGTGAGAGCAGAAAAAGTCCCATCTGATTTGATCGACCAGTTACTTGCGTGGTTAAAAACCAGGTGTTGTGGTTGATTGGGCTTTACTTTTGCTTTTCATGATCTGTAAGCAGTCTTTAGCTGTTAATATTTTGTTTTTTTGAAGTTCTAACACTATGCTCTGTGGCATGTTCTAGAAATGAACTTTTGGAATTACATTTTTAATTCCAAAGACTGAGTGGCCTGTCATGCTGTTTTGTTCAGTGGTTTTTGGAGATTATTTTTTTAATTATTCTATGTGTAAAATAAAGACATAAATGAAAAAAAAAATGCTCCGAGTTGTCACCATCTAAGGAACACTTCAGTTTATATGCTTTTTAAAGGCAAGTATTTGAACTGCAATCTAAGTAGGGCTGTGATTCTTTTCAATAATGTCTTGAGTGTAGTGCTTTAATTCAGCTACTGATTTGAGTACATACAGATTAGAGGAGAAAATCATTTGATGTATCAAGTAATACTCCTGCAAGGGACAAAAAGGGGTTTTTCTTTCTGTAAGTGCTGCCTACAGTAATTATGAAGGAAATAAATAGTGGCTGATAATGACATAAAGGTAATTTTATTGAAAATAAGCTGCATAGTTTGGTATAGATGTCATACCTTTTGCTTTCCTGAGGCTGTTGGTAAATGCTTGGCTATAATATGAGTCACAGAGACTAGGACAGAACAGTTTTACAGGTTTTCTTTCTTTACTGGCTGTATATTTTAACTTAAAACATGCAGGTTTTCAACTTAGTCAACATCTCTCCTTATCTTCTTGTAGTAACAGAATAAAACTTCTGTGCTAAATCAGATTTTCACATTGGTATAGTCTCATGCTCTTACATTTTCAGTTCTCTCCAACTAAGCTTAAAAAAAGAACTAATGTGCCTATTCTCTACTATGATTACAGCCAAGGGGTGGAAAACTAAGACTCTTGTCTTCAACAGAATACTTTACTACTTTTCAGAAAACATTTTGTGAGTACACAGAATTTCTAATATGTGTACTTGCTGGATAAAGTATACTTTTGTCACTATAGATTGTAACTTACAATCCTGCCTGATTTCACACAACTTTAGCTTTATCTGTTTAATAATAATAAAAAACCCAACCAAACCAAACAACAAAAACCCAACAACACAGCAAAATTAAAACCCACACAGGGAACGGCTAGTTACAAGTGGGAGTTCAGGGGCTATGTACTTTTAAATAGCTACAACTTACTTTGGTTTGGCCCTCATCTATAGCATTTTTGATAAATGGTGACCAAGGAATCTTAGAGCAATTTAGTAGTAAAAATAAACTCGATCTCATACCCAGATTACATCATCTGCTTTACCAGCAAATTGTGAGAGTTGATTGGTTCATTTTCTCTCTCTAGGCTAAAACTTTAGCACCTGCATCAGCTTCCTGCCACAATCCTTTTTTATTAGGAAATAAAATATTTTCTTAGTGTTTCTGGACTAGTACAGAGCATAGCTGTCAAAGACTGAACACCAATTTGGTTCTGTTTAGACTTTTGGCTAAAGTATGGATCTGAAACTTAGTACAGAACAGCCAATCTGTTTTCAGCATGCTTTTGTTATTTGCAGTATTTTTACTGGTTTTTGACATGCATTAGAATACAACATGTAGCCTAAGTGGGGAAAAAAAAGCACTTTTATTCTGCGCACATGGAAGAAACACTTCTCCCAGTCAGGGAAGGTAGTTACTTAAGCAACTAATTAGTCTTTCTTTTGCCAAAACAACATCACTATGGTGCTTAAAACAAGTTCGTAGTGTACAGGGCTTATGTTCAGGATGTTGTTTCTTTAGTCTCAGAAAGGAAGCTGCCCTCTTCCCAAGTTCTGTGTTGCTTATGTGAGTAGCTTCAGCAGGTACTTCCTCCAATACCCAATCCTCTGCTTATGGCAATCTAATCAGAGGATTGGCCCTAAACAGCACCTTGGGCACATGGCTGTATACTCTGTAAATAATTACAGAGCTAAAAGCTGGACACTTGCTAATGATAGCTAGAGTAGCATTAAAGTTTATACCTGTTGAATATATTAGAAGGCTTTAGAGTTTGTGCTTTTTTTTTTTTCCCCTCAATTGCTCAAGAGTTTAAGGAAGTCAGAAATGCATGACAGCTTTTATTTTTGCATCAAGTGCAACATTGCGAGTAACAGATAAAACTCAGTTTATACTAGTCCCGTAGTATACAGAACCAAAAAAATGCATTCCTGCCATGCTTTAGGCACTGTGCGTAAGAACCTGGTCAAAACTTCAGTGCAATTGTGACTGGAAGAGCAAAGCAGTGCTATTACTGTTACATCTGTATGCATCACAGTGTCATAAATACATTTATGGTAAAGCAGAATGGCTACCACTCCTAGTGTATGAGCAATCCCATGAATTAGATTTTACATCTAAAACAGCAAACAAAGGGAATCAATGCTAATTATCACCTTAATAAGGTGAGGTAATAAACCCAGTTTCAACAAGTATGTTGAGCCAATTGATCACAACAGAACAGAATTTAAGCTGAAAATACCTGGTGTTATCTAGTAGGGGGAATTGGAAAGTGGGCAGTAATAGGTGGCCCAAGGAATTCTGCTTCCTGGCTTTTGCTCAGTCTTCATCGGTAGCACTGCAGAGGCCTTCAGCCAAGAAGTTTTTCATCAAGCTACTAGCAAGTGTAACTGACCACCATCTACACCTTTCTAGCTGTTAGTTCTGGAACAAGTCCTTGCATCACCACTGTTTTGACAGGCATTTCTACTGAAGATAGGTATCAAGTTTCTTCTTGATGTTGTCAAAGGAATCCACTCCCATATAGTCAGCTTGGCCCTGTTCCCACCGTTCTTTGCGTTCTTCTGAAGATATAGTTGGTAATACTGGTGATGGTGCCGATATTGATATGTGGGACACTGCCTCTGTAACCTCTGTCTAAAAGAAAAGGTGGAGTGAAAATACAGAAATACTTTGCATAGCTAAAGTGAGCAACAGGCCATAGAATGGAATAACAAAGACATTCTCATGCACAACAGCAAGCATTGCCAAAGGGCAGGGATTGTGCAGCTTTCCTAGCAAAATAACAAAGCGGAGTTACAGAAGTTAGCAGGGAGAAAAAAAAGGTGAAGTTTAAGTTCTTCATACCTCTCTACAGAAGCCACAAGAGAAAGCCAGAGTATAGACCAAGCCCGATAGCTGCAAATAGTTCATTAGAAAGATGCAAGATTAACAAGAGAAAGCACATTTTAAGAGATCAGTAACTTTGGTCTCAGAAAGGTTGAGAACTTAAACTGGCCCATCTACTAAGCTAAGATAGTCTGCAGTTAGATGAAAGCTATGAAACTGTGAATGAGAACTAGAGTTAGAAGCAGTACTTTGGCTTTTGTTAAGTATTGGGATACATCACTGCCAGTATTCATTCTCTAGTCATCCTAATCTTACCTAGATTTGTCTCACCATGCAAGATTTGTATGTACATATTGCATGCTGAAGGGGGGTGGTTCTGCTCGAGAACCTCAGTAGCTGCAACATATTAAGAGTTAGAGCCCTTCTCTGTATAAATTAGTTACTACAGTATAGTGTCTGGTGCACCATTAGCTGCTTACATAGGTTTAGGCAAGCAGACAGCTATGTTCAAGACCACTACATCATGCTTCTCTTCTGTACTGTTACTGATTCCAAGCTTAAAAGAACGAAACCAAAAAACCTGCATCCCACAAACTAAACCACACCCATGCTTCGAGTTGGACAGAGGGAAGTCAGTGGAACAGTAAAGAACCTGTCATCCATACTTGGGTAGTTTGTGCAAGAATATTAAAGCACATACCATGTTTACACCGGTAGTAATGTCTTCAACAATTCCATGCTGTTCTAGTAATGGTAAAACATCAGCTGTATAGGTATTCCACCACATGTTGAGGAATTCTGGGTGAACTATTTTAGGGTCATCCATGTTGCCTTTTATGCTTTTTGTTCTGGAGTCATATGTATAGTTCCATGGCTTTGTGCTTCCCAGGAAATGCACCACTTTAGTATTTGCACCAAACCTGTTGGACAGAAAAAGTTAGAACCCACAGTTTATGCAGGTGTCTAGAAATGTGTTTAGAAAGTGACTGACAGATTTTTTTTATCTTTTTTTTAAAGCCTACAGTTTCTGTAGGTGTCCAGAAAACAGAAATCTGAATATATTTAGCAGGCTAAATGCTAAATGACAGCAGTGCCAATGCCTACTGGGACTGAAAGCATTGCTATACAACAACAAAAAAAATACAAACGGAATTCTACATTACGCTAGAGAACACAGCCAAAACATAATTGCCTGGGCTATTTACTTACAGCCAACTCAAGTCTTTAGGTAGTGATGTCCATAGCTCAGGAAAGAGCAGTCTCAAGCAGCCGTTGCAATCAGAACTGGTTTTAAAAGTGAAAAAGATTCTCCTCCAAAGTCAGTGATCCAGACAGTTAAGCATGACAAGCATTACTTAGAGAAGGGTCAGTGTTAGTTACCCTTTCAGTTTACAGCCCTATAAAAAAAGGATCATTGGAATGCACTCCTGCAGGAAGACCGTGTCCCTGCAAAACAGCAGCTATTACCTCAGCATTTCAGAGGACTTCTAATCTCTGCGTACCGGGGTCTTGCTAGACAACCAACCATTATTTTCTAAATAAGATTAGCTGAGCCATGGATGTTTGTTTGGGGTTTGTTTGTTTTTGTTTGGGGTTTTTTTATTCTTCAATATGGACTTCTAGCTTTGTCTCAGAAGTTATCAGTATGTTCTTTTAAATACAAATGTAGATGAGATGCACCCCCTTCTGAAGTAAGGAACTCAGCACTAAAAGAGATACTTCTATGGTTCCAGAACTAGAGTTCATCTTGAGTCAGTTTTGTGAACAAGCAATTCCAGACTCTTTAGTACCAGTGACTGTCTTGCCTGCTTTGGTTTGTAGCACCCTAGGATTTCTTCCAATCATGATTAAATAATAATGGCATCTAATTTGTCTAACATGTCAGTTTGACCAGAACTTGGATGTTTAAGGAATTTTACATATTAAAACGATGCAGGTGGGTTTCAAAAACACATATTCATAACAAGGCAGTATGCCAAAAACACATATTCATAACAAGGGGGGGGGGGGAGTACTATTGTAAGATCCTTGACTGTATTTCAGTATTCATGTTCAATGTTTTGAACACAAGTGATCTTACTGCATAATGAAAACCTGTGCATGGGTGAAACAAGGTCAAGTATTTGTACTAAATATGAGAGGAAAAAAAAAAAAGTTTTCAAGAGGTCAGTTCCTGGGCTTTAAGTTTAAACTCCCTATGTCAAGATTTGTTATAAGAGGACTACCCTAGTTTTATTAGCTGTCCCAGCACTACTTAACAGCCTGAGTTTTCTTTGTCTTAAGCTGCTGCTGTTCTGAGGAAATTTGTCATTGTTTAAAAATCAAGCCTGTTTAAGCTAGAGAATGCCTAAGAGGTGTTGTGTTACTACACTTGCTGCTAAGGGAAAAATGTATTCTTAGTGTTCTGTCCACTTAAGACCTGTACACGAGTTGACAGATGCCAAATTTCTATGATGTTTTCATTATGAGCTTTCTAGATACTTTCTAGATCTGCAATACTTCTTTTGCCATTTAAGCTCAACTGTTAGGAAGTTTTCTGTCCCCACTGGCCTCAGCAACTAATCTGTCTTTCCCCATCTCCCAGAAAAGTACTTCATCAATGTTTTGAAGTTAGAGAGCATTTGTCATGAATTGGCATTTTCCTTTGGAAAAAGGATTACTGAGACTGCTGTGAAATCTAGTCTCGCTGTACAAAGCTGTTAAAAACTTAGCTATTGATGTCAGTAGGTTTAAATTTCACTTTATTCCAACTGCTGATTATCAGGAGTATAGCTGCTGATCTAACCAAGGGAAATTGTTCCACCTATTAAGCAGGTCATTCCTACTTGGAAGGGCTGCACTTCAAGTGTTTTACTTACGAAGGTCTGCTGAATTCAGTTAGGCAATTGATTCAATTAGTTAAATGGAATTTTTGCCAGGAGCCCCCAAATCCAGTTAGTCTTTTGTGGCAACAAGGTCATTTGTCAACTTAAGGTCATGTAACAACCAGTCAGCCATGAAAAACAGGACACAGTTTACAATAGATCTTAGCTTATCAAATGCTATCCAACTACTTCATCATTCTTAGGCTTGCATGTATTTCTTTAAATAAGTGTTCCGCTTTTAGCATGACACGATTTCAGATGGTATTCTGATCACAAGACATAGCTTGATCTTGAGCCAGCAACAGTCCTGCTTATGCTAGCTGCTGCTTTAGACACTAGTAACCTGATGTCACTCAGATCAGATTGTTTTTATGCAATTGGTACTTTCCCTCCCCCACCCAACTTTTGCAGCTCTTAAGTTTGTGTAACATTTCAGCTTCCTTTGCTTCCCTCTGTGTTTATTCAAACATTTTTATCCTGCCACTGACATACAGCTTACTAGCATGCCAAATCTAGTACTGCTAGCTAGGGATGATACAGTTGTTTACTTTACACAGTGCACATGCAATGGTATGGTGGTTGGCTATAGTCTGTTCCATCTTGATACTGAGATCTAGAAAGACTTGGGAGAGAATTTTAGCTTTATACAAGTCTTTGTTCACTACATTTATTTGAATGGCACAGGTTAATTAGATGAACTATAACTACTGGTTGCTAAATGCCTTAAGTAATTTGAGTGAGGATAGGGCAAGTTATCTAGGTGGGAACAATTTTACCAGTGACCTGCTGAAGTTCAGCTCAAGCAGGTTCAAGAGCTACTGCTTTTCATTAGAGCTGCAACAGACAGTATCCCACACTGGAGCAGTGGTTCTTCCTTTTGAAAGTGACCTGTCAAGTGTGTTTACATCAATTTCAGTGTTACTACCAGGGACTAGTGATTTAAGCTACAGATACAGCTTTCTCTCTGCATTTATCATGAGATGATTCATTTAACTAATATTAAACTTTTTTGAGAGGAAACTATTATACCTTCTTTTAGTTACAGTAATCGTCTCCCTTTAGAAAGTGTGTAAGTTCATATTGTGTCTGCTTATTCTGTTAGAAGAAAGTAGCTTCTATAAGCTTCAAAAGTCATCTTAGAATTTTTAACTTACGCTTTAAATGCTGGAAGGTAGGAATATACTGAAGTGCTGCTCAAATTATAAATAAATGGTAGATGTTTGCTCATGTCTGTTGTTGCCCAGCTGCTGAAGAAGGTGTTTAATAACCCCTGATCTGCACCTGAAACAGAAAGCATTAATAGAGTACAATCAGATAGCTGTTTCAGGATCTCTTTCAATCACTTCTAAGTAAGAGTTGGTAATGCAGTTGTCATGTCCAGTAGGAGTTTGGCACACAGCACCAAAGCTCTATTTGGGAACAACCCTGTAAACCTTACAGCTTTTGAAAGTCTAAACAGAGAGAGTTAAAAAGATAGTGTGGCATTACATTTTACTAACAGATGGCTTACAAACCCTGACATTCAGTTTCTTCTGTAGCTTAAGTTCAAGGTGTATAAAGCAGCAGAAAACAGGACTTGACAATTAAGTACTGTTCAGCTTCAGGAAAGATACATTTCAGAAGCTGAAGTGCCACAAATTAGTTTTATTACTTATGCTTTCAGATGCATGACCAATATCTCAGTGCCAGAGTTAGGGTATCGGTGGTCTGTTAGATCAGGATGCATCTACCTACCCTGTAATGCAATAAGAAAAGCCTGGTGGCAACTCTAGCAAAACTAGAGCTGCTGACTAACCCCTGAGTGAGGACAATAATCTAAGTTATAGCCAGACCTACTGTGTTGGGAGTGGTCACCTCTTTGCTTACAAGTAGAGGTTCTAATGAAGTCAAATGAGTCTGAAAGTGTTTGGTATATCAGTGCTAGAGTAGCTACAAACATAGCCTCTGGCCGAAAGCAGACAAGTTAATAGGCAGCTACTGAGAAGTTAAAACTACTTATTTATACCCATTAATTCTTTATTACAATGAATATACTTAGTATTTAAGTGCTAATAATTCCTCTTATGAAGGAGACTGAAGGGAGTCCCTCAACTTTCCTTTGCTGTCTTCACCTGTAACTGCATTCACAAGTAGCATTCCTAAACAATAGGTAAATTAATAGCTTAGAAAAGAGATGTTATTTTAATCTTTAAAATATTAAAGCACTCAGTATCTGCTGACTAAAGAAAGGTTTTTTGTATTGGCCTACAGTTAGATTTAGGGAAGTTTACACCTTCACCACTGTTTGAGCAGAAGCTGCTTTTTGCCACTGAAGTATCTGGACACTGGGTGTAACTTAGTTGTACAGACCGTATAGCAACACATATAAATTCCAAGTATCCTGTTACAGCTGTCAGCACACATGCATATTGCAGAGTGAGAAACTGCCTAGAGACTCAGTCCAGTAATTTCAACTCTCTGACTTGCCTCTCAACCATAAAGGAAGAAAAGCACTTTTGAAGAAGTTGTGCCCATCATAACAGAATGCAGTTAAAGAAACCAGACAAGTCCCCTCGTCTTTCCTCAGCTATGTTTCATTTTAACTTCTAACTTCATGCTGTGTTAAGAATGTGAATGTTAACAGTAAGATCACCTAAAAGGGAAGAAAGTCTGGGGTGCCCTCACAGAACAGATAGCTCATAACTGAAGGGGCAGCAACAATGTATTTAACTCACTCTACAGGACTTTCTCTCACTCGATTGTTTTACATACTCAGCTTTTTGTTTTCAGCCTGCATGCATTTGTGAAAAAGCAGCCACTGGAAGTGGCATTTAGCTGTCCTAGTTCAGACTTCAACAGCAGTCTTGTATAAACTGGGCCTTAGACAGAAGGTGAAAGAATTGGGCAGTAGTTACATCAACTATGTATCTACAGATACAGTCTTGCTGCATTATATCTGTATATATAAAGCGATAATTTTAGATCCTAGGCTAAAGAGTTAGATGATTGTCAAAGCAATAGCAACATTCTTAAGGTATCAGTACTGCCAGATTTTTTAAAACCAAACTTTCCAACACACATGCTACTTTTAGATGGTATCTAGAAAGGTAAAGTTTAAATAGATAAAAGTAGTAGCTATCACTCCATTTCTGGACAACAGCATTACACAGGAAGCATCTGTAATAAACATTAAATATCCTGAAAAGTCTTGCATTCCCTAGTTACTAGTACTGCACTTGGGGTTCTTAGAGCTTGACTTTAATTATGCATAGCTTGGTAGCTTGTTGCGTTTGTATCCCTGTGTCCTGTTAAGGGCAGCGACCCTAACAGGAGTTTCCCTTATAAAATGTTTCCTAGGAACTTTTATTACTGTCTAGATAAATTTAAGTTTAAATCCCCTTTCTACACACTGAGTTCATTAATTCAGCAGCAGCTTATGCAGGTAGTGTAAGTCTCTGTGGTCTCATTACTCAGACTAGTGCTACCATTTAATAAAAACTGAGTAAGTTTTAAAGCTGAAGTACAAATTACAGTTCTAGAAATTTGGTAAACCATTAACCCACCATTTTTGCTGGTAAGAGCTGCAACAATTGCTTCATGTTCAGGACATTGAGGAAGTTTCACTATTTTGTCGCTTCAGCTTTCAAGCTAGAAGGTATACAATGTAAGCAGTTCTGTATTTTTAAAAGATGGGGTCCTTAGACCTAGATGATGGGGTCTGCTAGCAGTCAAGCACAAAGCTCAGAGGAGGCAATCACCAAGACTCAGGGGCTCCTGGAGCTACTCAACAGTCAGTTTGCACAAAGATGGGGGGTTGTTTCTTGGTGTCATCCCTCCCCTCTTCTCTTCCCCCTCCACCCCAGGGTTAGTGGGGAAGTTGTGTTTAGGTTTTTTTTTCTAATGCAGAAATTCAGTACTGCAGTACAGCTTTTGCCATAGCTGGTGGTCAGTTTACACCAAATATTTGAGAGCACTCTTAGAACTACCAACTGCTACCTCATCAGTAGTCAGGTACAGACATACAGACAAACCCTTCATTACATTTACTCATTTTCACTGGAGTTTATTCATATAATAGCATTAAGCATCCAACTGCAACTGATGTTCTAAGGAGACTGCACACAAGAGTCCACACAGTAAAAGGGATTATTCTGCAGACCAGGGGGGATATCTAGAAATTTTAATTTTTACAAAGTACTGGAAGGTAAGTCAACAGGCTGGTTAATTACCTTCCATAAAGAGTTCCATTTTATCATTTTATTTATGTAGTTTTCTGAAGCTTTTTGAGTTAGACATTGTTTTGTACCACAGTAGTTGCATAATGAAATTTAGTGACAGGAGATAGTGATAGTCACTCAGAAGCCTTTAACTATAGCAGTCTTCAAGCAGCATGTGCTTCTACTGTAATAGTAATAGATTTAGGAGACTTACAGGACAGTAGAACTTGAGTTCTCAAGCTCAAGTCTGGTACAGTGGCCAATCCCAAGTGACCCACAGTGGGAAGCAGCCAAGGCTACATGCACTTGATATTGGGAAAGAAAAGACAGTCACCACCCTATAATGACAGAAAGCTATCACATAGCTCATGAAGAGATGGTTCATCTTCAGATGTTTGTGTCTCTGAAGCTGCACTGAAATTGGTCAGTTCTGTTCCCCCACCCCGCCCCAGGAACTTGAGTTAGCATAGAACACTCAAGCCTTGAGTGTTAGGAATGCATGATGCATACTACTGAAGCTTCATTTGCTAGTGCATGCACTGTGCGCACTACATGTAAAATTTGTTACGCGATTCTACATTGCTGATGCTTACAGCTGCTAGTTTGGAGGCCTAACTTAATCTTTGTATTTCGTAAAGTCTGGAAAAAAAAAGTTTACTACATACAGTAATTAATGATAGCCTCTGTTGTGAGAGTGATGTAATTTTTGTGTAGTTACACTGAATTTCGCATTCTATCCTAGAGTCTCCATGACACATATGTAACTAGGGAGCCATCCCCACCACTATTACCATTTTCTAACTTAAATTGAAATACAAATTAACACATACCATCAAAGCTGCCTTTCTCTGTGGCAAACTGTAACAGCTGATTGTATGTTTCAATGGAAGGTCGGTAAACAAAGACTCCAGAATTGAAACAGTCAGGCCAGCCTGGATCTGGTGCTGCAGATAGCTCTTCTCTCTCAAAAAGCTCATCAATATTTGACAAAACCTAGTTGCAAAGGGGTAAAAGAAAATTTGCTTTCTGTTTTTTACAGTAGCAATTGGGATATCATATGTTTTAATGGATTTTGACATCCACCTTATGACATGAAAGTTCTCTATCAATGCTCTGGTCTTACAGAAGACAGCACTTTAGTGAGATAGCCCCCACAGACTACATTACAATTAATTTAGATGAAAAGGCACATACATTTTTAGAGTTACTAGTCCAAGTAGCAAAAAAGCCTCTATTACCCCTCCTGATAAACAAAAAAATGCCAACCTCCCTTCCCCAAAAAAACAAATAACAACAACAACAAAGCCAATCTAAAGAAAAAAAAACAAAACTAAAATCCAACAACTCCCATAGCAGGTCATTAAGAGGTACCATGAGACATAACCACTTACCATTGTGTCTGCATCCATGAAAACACATTTTGAAAACTGCGTCAGTGCCCAGCAGTGAAGCTTTGTTAGGGTGACACCCAGCTCAGGTCTTTTCATTAATGCCAAGTGTGCCGAGTCCCCGCTATCCAAGACATTTACCAATATGACTTCATCAAAGACTTTTTCCAGTACTCTCCTGGGGAAAGAGTCAGTTGACAAGATTTAGTTCCATTATTGCAGTGCCAGACCACATGATGGATTCTATTAGGAGAAGTGGAATACCAGGGAACCTGGCAGTATTTCTTATGCCATCAGTAAGAGCTGACTGCATCTGTTGGAATGCATAAGTATACCTGTCTACCTCAAGGTTTCTAGTTTATAATGGCCACATTTTGGGTAACTACGTAGTCTGGGGTTTTTTTTCCTTCCCCAAACAGGGCTTTAATTGGCATTGCTATGAAGTCCAGTGTGTCACTGGCTATGTAGTACAAACTTTTCACACAGCTTTTTTCAGCCAGACTCAATTTTGGCAAGTCAACAGCCTACTTTGAGCAGGCAGTTAAGAAATGGGAAGCTGTTAGAGTAGCTTGAGCAGGACAGCAGCTAAATCCTAAACAGTTGAAACAGTTTGCACAATAGTTACAACTGTTCTGGGTTTGTGACTCTTAGGGGACATCTCACTAGACCCAGTTGCTAGAACCTTCTTTATCCCGTAAAGTTGTATTCATTTAATAACAGCTGTGGGCATAGCAGTGTTTTGACCCAGTATCACATCCACCTAATGAGGACAGACTTTCAGAGAGCGTAGTAAAATTGTGGCAGATAGACAACCTTTGCCTTACCATCACTAAAACATTACCATTAGTTCAAGAGAGGTTAAGGAGTTACAACACTTACAATATGAAGCATCTGTAAGTTGTTGCTATTCTACAACATATCTTGAATGCTCAGCAATTATCAGTACAATTTGAGCCACAGGGCTTGTATATGTGTTTTAGAACTCTGCCTCACAAGGCTGTTTTTATACTGACATTTTGGTATGGACAGTTGTTTCTGAACTTCAGGTATACCTTGTCAGTGGGTAAGGGAGAAATTCAAGTTCCAGTTACACCACTAGGTAGGCAGGTATCATTGGCTTACACTAGCACATAAGCACATCTATGAGTCATCTTAAAAGAGCACACTCACTTAATAGGCTAAAATAGATGTTCCTATATGTAAGATCTTAATATTAATAAGGCTGTTTAGCTGTCAAGATACTCCAGGGAGAGTCACGCACATTTTTTTTATTGAGACACCTCTCTGTCTCTATAGAGAGAGTTCTTTTCAGAACTTCCCCCATGTAGAGAATCTTGACCTATCATCTGGTAGTTCATATAGCTATTAATTGGCATTTGGTTTTCTGGTTGTTTTTTTGGTTTTGTTTGTTTGTTTGTTTTTCCCACCCTATAACATGTGGTAAGAGCACCCAGTCTGCTCTATACCAACACTATTCTAGAGAGGCTGTAGAAAGCAGTTAATTTCATTTATTGTATTATGGTAACCGCATTAGATGCTCTGTTGATATGCTTATTTGATATACTTGGTGTTATTCTAGTTCTACTCATTTTCCTCTCTCATGAAGAAACTTGAAGTGTCTGCTGGATTTCAGGAGAGCTTGTGTTACATTATCTCAGTTGGGAATATATCTCGGACAAATACCAATCCTCTACTCTCACTTCCAAATGCATACACACAGCACTAATGAACACATAGACAATACCATGCTGTTGGACAGTCTGAAGCAGAACTATTAAAGAACAAAGATCCAGTCGAAATATCAGTATCAACTCAATTTAGTGCTCTATCTACACAGCATTTGTTAACTCATCATGTGTTAGAAAAAAAAAACAACACAGTATAAATTGAATTCTGCTGGGGTTAGCCATTAAGCTTCCAGATTTTGGAAGGTTACTTTAAGGAATTTAACTTCCATTTTTCAACATTCACATCAGCAGGAACTGCAGCAGTTTTAAGCCTGTAAACGACCTTACCTCATAAGATCTGAGACCTGAGGAGTTATGAGTGCAGTCAGCTTCCTTGTTGTTCTGTACTGTTGCAAAGATGAGCCAAGTACCAGTGCTCCTTTCACATAGGAGTCATTTGTGGCTAGAGTCACAAAAGACTGGTCTGGAAGACATTAACTTGGTCAAGTTAGCATGATCCACTATTTTATTCCAGGACAGATATACTAGAAACCTAGTACTGTTAGATAGTCATGTTATAAGACCCCCAAGATGTGCCCTTTAACTCTGCATACTGGGTCTACCCAGATAGCTGAATTAAGCAGATTATACTTACATAGCTACACTTCCTATTAGTAACTTTACACATGGCAAAGTGCAGTAACACCCCCCCACTTGCACCCTCCCCCCAGCAAAATCAAGACTGTTGCAATAGAATACCACTTTCAATTTGCCCACAGGTTAAATAAATCATGCTAAATGTTAGACACAATCCAAAAAGTCTAGAGAGCCTTATTTTGGCCATCAATACAATATTAAGCTAAAAGTACTGGGAGTCACTGAGCCTGCATTTGGTCAAATTTAGTAGTTCTGTAGAGTTACTCTAGGTTCAGCTCTCAACCCTGAAGCCAGGGCAGCATAAAATTTTGATTTCATTTTCAAATGAAAGCAAGCATTGAATTAGATCTTGGACAACAGTATTAAGTTTTGCTAGCTCAGGATTTGGCAGATTAGTTGTTCTGCAACCCATGGTTGCAGTTCAGTCACAGGAATGCAAGTTTTAAATTGGAAGTAACCAGTAATATGATAAAAATAAGACTTGCAACAACAGTTTTTGCTCTTCAAGCAAAAAGTAGTAAGGTTGGATGGTTACTATCAAGTATGATTTCTGCTTCAGCTCTACCTTAAATAGAGATTAAGATGGATCACTTTGTCATATAATACAAGCTTTGCATTCTTTCAATTGTCAGGTTGTTTTAAGCTGCCAGGGTGGAACAGACAAAAGCAAACAAGTTCTTCAGTTCACTGCTAGCTATTGTCATGTAGACCTTTTTATAAAGCACTGTAGCTTGGAAAGGAAATGTGCTCTTTTTTACCAAACCATTTTTGACAACATCAACAAAACAGCTTCTTCCCAGGAATTTTGAGAGTAGATTTCCACATTCAAATTTATTTAAAAAACTGTGATTTTTCTTTACAGAAGTAAACTAGGCTAGATCAGGATGGAGAGCGAGGGTTCTGGGCACTTAGAGGCTTGCTATCAAGTCTAGTAGTAAGATTACTGAGTGCTCTACTTCCAGAGAAATTGTTGTTTGGTACAGCTCACTGCATGAGACAGTTACCAATTACCTTTTTAACTTAATACTATCTTAACAGTTGACAACAGAAAGCCATGTACTACAATTGTATATAAGCACTGGAAACCTGGTTTGCAAGCTCTACAGACCAGCTACAAAACTTTCTGTTTTGCTTAGCAGCAAAACCGACTAGTCCCAAGGGATTTAGATTATAGTGGCCAATTACAAAGTTCAAAAAAAGCTTCTGCAATACCAGAAATAAAGTTTGTTGGGTCGATTTTTTTTTATCCCAGCAATTGACTTTAGCTAACAATTTGTACTAGTACATATATTCAGCAAATGTACAGAATGTGTTTCTTTAAGCTTTACAAATGGCAAGCATGTAGCAACATTTTTCATGACTTAATTTGCATGTTACTCCTCAACACATAGAAGTCTGCCGCTCTGCTGGCTCACAGCTTACTAGAAATCCAGTGTAGATAAAGTGGGGTTGTGCCCAACATTCATCTGAATGTTGCCTTGGTTTTATTTATGGTCTGTTTTGGTTTTTTTGGGGGGTGGTTTGTTTTTGTTTGTTTTTGGTTTTTTTTTCCCCAGCAGTGCAAGGCTAATTCTTAAAATGGCCTTGCCACTACCCTTTCATTGAACTGTTAATAGGTGTACTTCTCCCACATCTTATCTTGCTGAAGCTGAGTATTCACAAAGGTTTTAGAGAAATAAAGTCAACTTAATGATGGAGCAAAGCCTAAAAAGCCCTGTTACATCCCAGCCTCAGCAGGAAAGTTTGAGTGCTTCACAGGAGGAGGATACTAGCAACTTATAGGGCATCCAAGTCAGTACAGCTCTCCAAAGTTCGGAATGAGTTATGTTCTGTCTCATACCTTCTCTAAAGTACATTCGCATATACATTCAGATGTGTTATGAATGAGTCCATACTACAATTCTGGCAAGAGCAGTTGCTCTTTAATAAAGAGGTTACATCTGCAAGACTAGTCTATTCTACCCAAACCACAAGTATTTCAGCTGTGTGAGTCTCCCTTCCCATCCTCTCCCCCCTTCCATTCTCTGTGAACACTTCCTCTACAGTAGGTTATGTTCACACAGCAGTCACTATTATGCCTGAAACATAATGAACTGTTAGTAACAGTGCGGCTGCAAGACCACAGAGAATGGGAGGCAGTTGCACAACTTCATAATTGATTTATCTAGGCAAACCCAAGCTACCTCAGAGACATCTTTGGCTGCCCAATTCATAGGCTATAGGATCCTTACACACCCCAGAGCATCCTGGAAGTCTGAGCTAGGAGCAATCTTTTATGTGACAGCATGTAGGAGTGCTTGCCCTAGATGTTGAGAAACTTCCCCTGAAAGCATTTTCAGACACAGCCGAGTTTGCAGGTGTTTGCCTCTTCTCTGAGTCTGGCTCTAGCACGTCTGACTTTCTGACTACAGGATTTCTAGGAACAGAAGCACCTAATCGAGACGTGCACCAGAAGGCAGAGCACCAGATTCCCTGCAACCTTCCAGATCCGAAAGTGAAACCGACTCCGCTGACAGCTTCAGCTGAGGCAAGAATCGTGAAAAAGCATCAGAGCGCACGGCAGTTGCACGCTCTCGTCAGCGTTTCGGGAGAGAGCCAGCTTTTCCCCTCCGAGCCGCTGCGGCCCTACAGGGACCCCCCCAGACGCTCCTGCTCTCCCGCACGCTGGCCGCATCCCTCCCGCTGGCGATGGGGGTACCAGGGAGTGCGGCTGCACCGCAGCATCCCCTCGACCAACCGCGCGGCGGTGCCCTGCCCCGAGGGACGCCTCCACTCCCCCCCCCCCCCCCCCCTCCCGTGCAGCCCTACCCCCACCGCCGTCGGCACGGGCTCGCCGCGTGCTGGCTGGGGCCGACACCTAAAAATAGGCTCTCGCGGGCCGCGCCGCGGACGGAAAGGCACCGGGGGCGCGCGGCGGCCCCGCAACGCGGCCCGCGCCGCCAGCAGCCCGCGCGAGTCGCGGCGCGCCCGGCGGGGGCCCGCGGGGAGCGGTGGCCGCGCCCACTGACCTGCCATGGCGGCGGCTCCGCGGGTCGGCTGCCGGAGAGGTACGGCCAAGCTGCCAGAGCCCAGCTCGGACCGACCCTTATATAGGGGCGGGGCCACGGGGCAGACGTCTGTGGCCGGAGGAGGAGGCCCCGCCCTAAGGAATCCCCGCGTCGCGGCGGGGCGGGGTCTCCGCCATGGTCTGGGGCGGTGGCTGCACGCTGTGCCCCTCTTCTGGCATGGCGGGGCCCCCGCAGGGGCGGCCGGGGATCGGAGAGGCGTCGGGAGGAAGTACCGTCTTCCCTGGTGCCTCCTAGGCCAAACAGGAGCTTGAAAATGTTCCACCGTGCGGACAGGGGACAGGACCCCATATCGGGATGGTGTGGCTCTGATTTGCGGCACCGGTGGCACAACAGAGTGTTCCTCCTGTGTCCGTCGAGCCCTGCAGGGAAAAGGAATAAAACCACGCTTGGCCAAAAGCCACCTGCAGCAGCAAGGGATGCATTTACAGTATAGGCAAACGCCAGACAGCCCTAGTCCTGTGGCCGTGTTGGGGTAGTGTGTCGGCTGGTGAGCCGTTGCTGGTACTACCACAAAATGATAGCTGAGGATGGTGTTCCTACGAGGCAGCTCCACGCACAGTTGGGATCACTGGTGGGCTTTGAAATGCAGGTGTTGGCACGCACAGGGTTACTGCAGGTATGTTGGTGGGAGCTGCAGGGGGCTATGGGATGGCAGGAGGGTCCCTAGAGAAGGCCCGAGGTGTTTTAATTTGAAGGGTTACACCATCATGCTTCTGTACAGCATAACTGGTACTGTTGGCAGTGCTTGGTACCTCTGGGGGTTGTGTGTCAGCGGGTGAGATGAGGAGATATACCTACACTTACATATTTTCTTTATGGCTCAGTTGCAGTCCTTGAAGAAATTTAAGCTGTACTTTTTTTTTTCCCAGGACTATAGGAAGGATTTTAATAAGTTTCTTGTGCTTTTCTTTCTAACTTTTGCAAGCATTAAGAGTATTAAGACTCTAATACAGGTCCTTTGTTATTCACATGACTCTTTACCTACTAAGCAATTAAAAATTATGACGAATAGCAAAAGGCATAGATGTACAAGATAGCCTAACTGAAGAGATTAGTTAGGCCACAGAATCATGGAGTGGTTGAGGTTGGGAGGTTATCTGGTCCAGCCCTGCTGTTTGAGCAGGGTCATACAGAGCTGGCTGCCTATGACCATGTCCAGATGGCTTCTGAGTAGCATTGTATGCCAGTGCTCAGTTACCCTCACAGTGGCAGTGTTTCCTGATGTTCAGAGGGAACCTCCTGTATGTCAGTTTGTGCCCGTGGATTCTGGACCTGTCACTGGGCACCGCTGGAAAGAGCCTGGCTCCATTTTCTTTATGCCCTCCCTTCAGGTACTTATATGTATCAGTGAGATCGCCCTGAGCCTTCTCTTCCCCAGGCTGAACAGTCCCAGCTTTCTCAGGCTTTCCTCATAGAACAGATGCTTTCTTGACCCTTCATCATCCTTATGGCCCTTTGTTGGACTCTCTCCAGTATGTCCACGTGTTTCTTGGAGTGGGGAGCCCAGCACTGGACCCAGTCTTCCAAGTGATGCCTCACCAGTGCTGAGCAGAGGGCAAGGATCACCTCTGTAAAACTACTGGCCATGCTTTGCCTAATGCAGCCCAGGATGCCATTCACCCGCTTTGTAGCAAGGGCACTTTGCTGGCTCACGTTCAACTTGGCATTTACGAGGACTCCAAGGTCCTTTTCTGCAGTCTGTTGTCTTCCTCAAGACAATGGCCTATATCTGTTTTTTCACCAAGAATAACCTGAGGAAAATCTGTTAGGAAGGGAACCCCTTTCTAACCTGAAATGGCAAAGGGGTTTTGTCATGAAAGGATTTAAAAACTAAACAAACCCTCAAATGCAAACTGATGAACAAAGAACATTTCACCTCCAATTTACCCAATACAGAAAATGATGTTTGAGCTGAGACAATTTTTGTAGACAAGTCTTAAAATCAAATTGCTTACTTTTAAAAATGCCAAAGTCAGGGAAGTGCTCCTTGACCAAGAGAAAAAAAAAACCAAACTTTTAGAACATACAAGTAATTTATAAAACGGCATGTGTAAAAAAATGCATGAATCACAATTACAGACAATGCTGGTATGTTGTACATGAGTAGGGTTTACTAATATTTTTCCCATATGCAGCTCTTTTTCAGGTATCCATGGCTTGATAAACTTTCTCTGTAATGGTGTTGGGCATGGTTTGTGTCTGTCTCAGATGAAAGTTTTGAGAAGTTTTTAGCCAGCACATTTCAGCTGCGTCTAGCTTGTTGCTTTGCCAAGTTTTGAGAGAAAACAATAGAATAGCCGCTGTTGGTGACTGCCCTCTCTGCCGCCCCTCTGGCTCCTTTGTATTATGTTAGAGTGGAGCAAAAGGGCATAATTCCTTCTGGTTTCCATGTTAAAGGATAAAACAAACAATCAATTAGGTTTGTCGGTGTTAAGCTTTAAAGTGTGACAGAGAAATGCTCCCCTGCCCCTATGCACACTCCTATTTGCACGCGCTTGTTTGAGATTTTTCAGATGCTTATGATTGAACAGGCTGTAAATTCTATGGCTCTCTTGTGTGACTGGATTATACGTACATCCATGCCCCTGTACTGACTGGTTAACACTCCTTTCCCCACAAGGGGAAGAGTCACAGGAAGAACCTGAGGGATAGTCTGGTGTCCCGTTGGCTTCCACATCAGAAGGAAGAAAAGATCATGCGACATGAGAAAACTGAAAAAAAAAAAAAAAGGAATGTTTGGGACAAGCTCTCAGGAGATGAGAGCTAAGATGGGAAAGCATCTAAGCCTAGGACACTATAGGACTTGATAAAAATCTGGTGAGAAGGAGGAAGGAATGCATTTTGATGGATAGAGGCAGACAACATTTGGAAAGAATGGACGAAGTGCTGCATAGCAGCTCATGAGTGCATACTGGCATACTGAACAAGGTGCACATCCTATGAAAAATTAGCTTGTGATTATGCAATTACAAAATTACATCACAGTGCATATCACAGAAGTCGAATCACCATGTGCATTATGGAACATTCTATTTTTAATGACTAATACTGTTATTTTCGTAGGAGCTTGTCTACAAATTAAGTAAAAAGACATTTCACAACACCAAATACTAAGAAGTAGCTTTGAAATACAGTTAGGATTTACATAGCAGTAACAGAAACTGCTACCCCTGTAACTGTGTTAAGTGTAAACTTCTAAAGCACTTGGTTAGCCACTTACACTTTATATAATAATTTTTCAAATGTGCACTATGAGTCCAAACATTAAATTAATAAAATGTTCTAAGGCAAGTTTCAATATAAAACATTATTTCTGCCTCTGCCAAATCTGGAGGAAAAAAGAAAAATAGTCGACTCCATGCATTCAGTAAGTTTGAAGTACTGGAATTCAATTTTCAACTGAAATGATAATCTGTCTAGTCAGGAAACAGAATTCCATAGTGTGAAGTGCATAGATGGGTGTATAAAAAGAGTATAGCCTGATTCAAGACTCTGCTGAGAGGTTTGATTCCATTTTTGTCCTGCCATCTCTGTCTTGCCCTGTCATAAACTTCCCTGATGACAAAAATTGTTCTGGGTCATCCCCTCAGTTTTTTGAACCCCTTCTCACCTTGACCTTACTGTGAAGCTAAGACTGGACATTTATTGTTTCCGAACTTAGAACAGTCTGCTAAGAATTTTAAAATTTGGCACAAATTTTTCATAGGGCTAGGATTTCTGAAAATCTGAAAGGGGTAGATTTGGCTTAGACCCACTATGAGCGTGGTTTGACACTGGCACAGGTTGCTCAGAGAAGCTGTGGCTGCCCCATTCCTGGCAGTGTTCAAGGCCAGGTTGGACAAGGCTGTGAGCAGTCTGGTCTAGTGGAAGGTGTCCCTGCCTGTGGCAGGGCGGTTGGAACTAGATCATTTTTAAGGTTCCTTCCAATCCAAGCCATTCTATGATTTCAGTATAATGTAACTTATTCCAGTGGGACTGAATAGGCTTTGGTGTTTCTATTTGAATAATTAAAAATTAATGCTGTCACTCCATCTTAATCTTGTTTCCTAATGGGCATTTTCTTTGCCTGTCCCAGAGTCCATTCACAGATCTGGCCTCATTTCCTTCAAAGAAATTCATGTATTATATCAATGCAATAGTCTCCTGCCAAGCTAGGCTCTATCTTCGAAATCTTAGAATCATAGAATCCTAGAATAGTTAGGGTTGGAAAGGACCTTAAGATCATCTAGTTCCAACCCCCCTGCCATGGGCAGGGGACACCTCACACTAAACCATGTCACCCAAGGCTTCATCCAACCTGGCCTTGAACACCAACCAGGGATGGAGCACTCACAACCTCCCTGGGCAACCCATTCCAGTGCCTCACCACCCTCACAGGAAAGAATTTCTTCCTTATATTCAATCTAAACTTCCCCTGTTTAAGTTTTAACCCGTTACCCCTTCTCCTGTCACTACAGTCCCTAATGAATAGTCCATCCCCAGCATCCCTATAGCCCCTCTTCAGATACAGGAAGGCTGCTATGAGGTCTCCACGCAGCCTTCTCATCTCCAGGCTGAACAGCCCCGACTTTCTCAGCCTATCTTCATACAGGAGGTTCTCCAGTGCCCTGATCATCCTCATGGCCCTTCTCTGGCCTTGTTCCAACAGTTCCATGTCCTTTTTATGTTCAGGACACCAGAACTGCACACAATACTCCAGGTGAGGTCTCACAAGCACAGAACAGAGGGGCAGGATCACCTCCTTTGACCTGCTGGTCACGCTTCTTTTGATGCAGCCCAGGATACAGCTGGCTTTCTGGGCTGCAAGCACACACTGAAGCTGGCTCATGTTCATTTTCTCATCACCCAACACCCCCAAGTCCTTCTCTCCAGGGCTGCTCTGAATCTCTTCTCTGCCCAACCTGTAGCTGTGCCTGGGATTGCTCCAACCCAGCTACAGGACCTTGCACTTGGCATGGTTAAACTTCATGAGGTTGGCATCAGCCCACCTCACAAGCGTGTCAAGGTCCCTCTGGATGGCATTCCTTCCCTCCAGCGTATCAACCGAACCACACAGCTTGGTGTCATTGACAAACTTGCTGAGGCCGCACTCAATCCCACTGTCCATGTCAGTGACAAAGATGTTAAACAAGACCGGTCCCATCACCCATCCCTGAAGGACACCACTCGTTAC